TACTTTTTCCAACAATAGTTGGAACAATGTTTCCGCCGCCTTTATTATGACAGACTGTTCCATTGTAAATTTCAAAATTTCTCATCAAAATTGAATATGAAAGAAGTCTGGGAGTCTTGAACTTCTTTTCAAATTGTTTGAATTATCTTAGTGTGACACATTTTAATTTGTCAAATGACATGTCTACATGTCATCATCAATATTTACAATAAATTGTCATATGCAATTATTATTTATGACAAGTAAATTAAAAATGTATCATTGGAAAAGTTTTGCTTGAAAGTGAAATAAAACACTTCAGCACTCGTACGTGTAGTTGATTCTCAAACTGCCTAACTAATTCCTAACTAAAACTGAACTTATTATTAATATTTATTAAAATGAAGTGTGCATATTTTAACACTTTTCGAAAGTCATTTCGGCCAACTCTTGAATTTTAATACGCCTTGCAAATTTGTAGAATAAGTAATAGGAAACTTAGAGAGCTGAGAAGATATTAAAATATATTACTTGTGCTATGATTAAAAATAGTGGAGCAAAAGTTATGGAATGCAACATCTTTCTATACATACAATTTCCAGTTAACAGATTTGGCAAGGGCTTTATGTGAAATTTACGTAAGGGTAAAGTTTGCATAAAATTTTCAAAATTTACCAAAATTACAAACGCAATCTCAATCTGTTTTAAGCCCATAAAAATATATTATATTTACTTTGCTCTCGGATGATGTTATTAGAATATGGTTTCATGTTTCTTAAATGTTTTCTTATTATGTTAGAATAAGAAAAGTTTTTGTTTTGTTTGCATTTTCGTGCGAATATAAAACATCTGCAAAATAGAATAGAGCAAGAACTTCTTCCCAAATTACGTATTTAAAGCAGAATACGAATATTTGCTTTGAACTCATTATTGTAATAAAAATTCTTATATTTTAGATGCCATAAACAAAAATATTTTTACAAGTACAAGTTACACTCTATTAAAGTTTAAAAGGAATATAATTCTTTAATATTCTTCGAATATTTATACGGGCACGATTTATTTTTACACAATATTTTTATTAGTCAGCCATATTATATGAAGTATTATTAGTAGTATTAATATATTAATAAGAAAATCTAAATGCATATATTAGATAAGAAATTTAACATAGTATAAAACTATTTTAGAGAAAACTTAGAGCATAATAAAATTAAAATAAGTACTCGCAAATAAGTATCTTTATGTATATGAAAAAGATATATAAGAGACAGTAACGAATTGTTAAAAATGTAATGTCCTTTAATATTTAAAATTTTAAAAAATATATAAAATGACATTAAAACATTATTTTATACAATCTCAATTGAAAAATACTTAGGAATAAATTAAATCATGATCCAGTGTATATGATTTCACTATTGTTTGTAAACAAAGTTGTGCAGTATTGATTACTTTTGTAATTGAATTACTTTCAATTACTAATTGCAGTAATTATAATGGATATTTGTAATGCATTTGATTTTGCATAGCTTCGGTCATGAAGATATCCACAGTGTATGTATACTATGTGACAAAGATTTTAATATATTTTTTAACTTTAACTTTAACTTTAATATGTAATTTATAATTTGCAGATATATTGCAAATTAATGTTTTGCCTAACAAAATAAATTCTGTTCATGGAGTCATAGATCATTGACAATAGAAAATTAACTAAATTTTAAAGTTTCTAGCTATAAAAAGTTTCTTGCATTATATAAAAAACACATATCTATAGAAAAATGTAATTTTATTTCCATAATATTCGTATTTCAGCCGACTCTTTTAACATTTTGCATATCATTAAATTTTAAGTTCTGAATTTTAAAATAAAACTAACATAAAAAATTACAATAAATTTTGCAATTTTAATAAATCATAGTTTAAAATTTTTTAAAATAATAAATGCAATAAAGTATAAAATATTAATAGTGCTAGCAAATATACTCGTACTCTCTTCATGCCAAAATGAAAGGCAATGCTTATATAAGCCGTATATATACACATACAAAAGTATAAAAATATAATGTTTTACTCTATATGCAACGATATGTAAACACAAAAAGTATATATATTAAATAACACATAGTGTGCATTATTTCAAAAGAAAATTTTTGTTGTATAAAAAGCATTGCATTTCCCTACATTTTTTAAAATTCCTCAAGGCAAACATTGCGAACTTAATTCGTTCACTGGAGTTTGCATACAACCGCCACAAGCAGAGCATTGAGCTCGAGCAGCAGCAAAACCTTTTCAAAAGGCTTATCAGAAATAAGCCAAGACTACAAATTTTAATATAAATCACTATATCCGCACACATGAACACACATGAAGTCAGAGAGTCTTGCAAAGCATCATGACATACGGGACAGGATAAGAGTGTTCGATGGCTCGTACTTACAGAACACTGAAAAGTTGGAAGTCAAGCGCAACAAAATGTCAGAGAAAATGCTAATAAAACTTGCAAAAAAAAAAAAAAACAAGAAAGGGAATTCAATGCACATCACCGCTGTTTGCATAATAGAATCCTAACAAACAGAAAAAACTCTCATACGCCTAGTGACCCCCTAACGTAATGATACGCCATATTGTTTGTTATTACATTTAGTATTGAATTGAAATTTTATTGCTTCAGCTATTTAAAAAATGCAAAGAGTGCATATATTGCAGATTAAATATTTATTTTAACAATAAGACATATTTTTATAATAATTTCTTTTTACTATATATAAACCAAGCAGTTCAACTTACTTGCACGTATGAGTATAAACGCATATATAAACGCAACCGTCAGACAAAATAATTATAGATTTATACCACATTGGAATAGTAATTTATTATTATTCTAGAATGTGGATCCTAATAGATATGTGTTAATTTAATTTACATGATATTAATGTATTTAAATCAAACAATTTGTGTTGGCGCTTACATATTTAAATTTTATTTTGAATGAGTCATTTTTAAGAATTTATGAGAATAAAAAATTTTTTGACTAAAGGTATTTGTTAATAATTTTTTTTTTAATACTATGCAACTTGATTTATTATACAGAAAATTCACATCTCTCCTATACAATTTTTTCGTTTTTTTTTTTTCACACGTAGTCCTTTCCTGCGTTAATGTCAAATACAATATTTAAAAAAAAAAACAGTATCCATATCATTATTAACTCACAGAACACTTTTACTATATAAGTATGTAAAATTTCAATTTATATTAATATTAACATTATTACTATATATAAAATTATTTTATATAAAACACTGCTCATATTACCTATCAGTTATAAATTAAAATCCCAACAAACCACACCACAATAACTCAAATGACAATAATCGTTTTAATAATTGTTTAACATTGTTTTAAATTTCAAAAACTAACATAAAAAAAAACAAAAATAAAATTGGTTTTAAATAAAATGCCAATCGAAGGAAAATAGGCGCTATTTACACCTTGCAATGCAACTCTTGAACCACCACACTAGCCACAAAGTCGTTCGTGTTTTCGCGGTTATTAGTTTGAAGCATGTCAATGTCAAACGTATGTTCTTTCATATATAACCGCACATACTTTATGAATTTGCATAGATATATTTGTTATCATTTGTATACTACTTTGTTTAACAACAGTTGTAGCGTTAACAAGACTGCATAATAGTAACAAATATAATAAATATAAAAATTAAAAAAAAAATGAATTACGAATAAAATGTAAAATGGATGACATAACAGAATCGAAACTGCAATTAAACATATTGACATTTTAACGATATAAAGTTGGTACCTTTCTAAAAGCTCAATATAGATACTAATGACTTTTTAACAAATACCACACAACTACCCATCCACCTACTCATTATGCAGAAACTACAATTCCATTTTCTGAGTAGTACATTTACAAACAGATGTGGAATATAGAATTTGGGTTGCATGGTCAATAGAAACCTTTACTTTGGCAGTAAAATTAATGCTAAGAAAGGCTGCCTAAATCGTTTGCTTTTATTAACATAGTATTTGTATCAACAAAATGAAAAACACAATTGAACCACTTATTTTTTTTTTTTGAAAATCTGAATATCTATAAAACTGAATTTATAATAAATGGGATAAGAAATATATATGTTATATAAAGGGTTAAGCGATTGAAGTGTTACCTATTCAAGCGACCATATCTTTTTTGTATGAAATTATTTTTTATTAATTCAAATTACATCTTATTGTGGAAATAATCAAAATTTCAGAATCCATTCACTCTAACAGGATGTGACCCCCTTTCGCCTTGACTATGGTCTTCACATGATTAAAAAAATGAGTTGCATGATTCACGAATGTGATCTTTCGGTATTTTGGCCCATTCCTGAACAATGACTATTTTCAACGCAACCATACTGGCATATTTTTTAGTCCTCATCTTGCTCTCCAAAATAGTTAAGATAAAATAGTCCATCGGTTTTGATTATGGCGAATGGTTCACATGAGCTTTATGAGACGGTGCTGAGTCTTGTTGGAACGTCCATGGTCTACGAGCGAAAAGTTTGCCTGTCCACAGCTCTAAATCAACTCCCAAAACATTTTCCCGATAATAAGTCGAATTGACTTTGACACCAGGCTTGATGAAAACAATTAGAGAGCATCCATCGGCGGACACAGCTGCCCATACCATTACATAAGATGGAAAAGACGGGTGGTCTTTCATAGTCTCAAATTTTCAATTAGGTAAATACGATCATTTTGAGAGTTTATGAACTATTGAATGGGAAAATTTTTATCATAGAACATAATGTTTGGAAATTCGCCACGTTTGTGCAGCGTAACAACTCTTTGCTTTTTTGAGTCCAACTTTTTGTTTCTTTCGTGTAAAACTTATGCCTTTGGAAGTCTTAAGACTTTACTTAGAGCTCATTTTTGAAAATGCGTTGGATGCTTCGCTGAGATATTTTCAGTTATTTGGCCACTACGACGACCAAAAAGTGACGGTCACTTTCCGAACCATTTAGGTGATGTGGCTGTCGACCAATGGCGACGCTGAATGTACTATTATAGTGATATATACAATACACAAACATTTTATTCGCTTTGATGTTTTTCAACTCACGAATAATAGCTGGTTGTAATTATCCAGCCAAATACAACACAATCACACTATAATGTTTGAATTCCATTTCGAATAACTTTTATTCTATAAAACTTAGACGCAAATGGTTGTGATAGTTTGTAAACAATATAAAAAGCTCTCATTCGTATGAATTTTATGTAGTTGGCAATATTAGTTTGACAGATATATCTATGTGTGGTTGGTAATACTTCAATTGTCTAAACCTGTACTCATTTTCCCAAAGGACAAAGAAAAAGATGTTAATAACAGCATCTATTAATTTTATATTACTATATATATATATAATCATAATTTTATATGATATATTACTTTTAGGTAATGTGGACAGAAGCTGAACGCTAGAAATGTATAATCCATAATTATGTATAAGACATAATATTTTCTTAAAATGTTATTACACAATAAATAGTTAAAAAGAAGTTACTTATAGTTAAAAAAATAATCTGCCTTTTGCATTAATTTCAGTATAAAAAAAATAATTAATAAAATAATTTCAATGCTGTGATACCTTACTTCAAAATTAATATCAATATTGATTATTGAGTTTCTGATTGGGGCTAACTAACATTAAAGATGATCGTTTAATGATTATTACTCGTCAGTCAAAGGTTAACTAATAATATCAAAGATAATTACATACAAGTATCATAATTAAGATGTTTGAAAAAATTTAATTAATTCATGAAAAAGTCTTCACATAGATTCAATTTACAAGTCATTCTATATTTATAATATGAAAAGGCTGTCTTTGAGAAGCAGATATTCTGTAGGATTTTTCTGTTTTCTCATCCCAAAGCTACAACTATTACTGATTGTGGCTTTAAAAGAAAAAAATACAAGAAGTCAGGTTGCGAATAATGTACTGAGGTATGAGTGAAATACAGTGATAGTTTTATATCACTTCATAAAACCAACATTAAAAGCAACTAACTAAATTTTAATGAAATAATTATTTTCTGTACATTTTAATTAATAATTGGGCATATTTCTTACACTGAATGCATTGAGAGTGTAATATTAAAAACAAAATTAAGAGTTTTATTAATAAAAATATATTTCAAATCGTATCATTTTAATTTTTTTGATTCTTTTTAATGGTTTATTTCTTTAATTTTCTTTAGCAATTTTAATATATTATTTAAATTGTGTCAGTTTGTTCTTTATACTTCCTTAAGTCATTACTGTTTTTATAAGATACTCTACAAATCTGTGTTTGCATGTAAACTTAAGTTTCTTTGAGCTGCACTATATGATTCATTGTTGTAAATGTTTACGTTCTCTATGTAATGTTATACATATTGGTTACATATACTAAGTACTAAGGTTGTTACACGTCTAAGAACGCACTTAAAAAGGACTCGTTCTCCGTAACAGTAATCATGATAATGTAATTGTTTTTTAAACGGTATGTGTTTTAATCACATTTTAATATATATTTATGTAAATGTTTCATTTTATGTTGTATATGCAATAATTTGTGTTTTAATACTTACAACTGTGATGGGATAAAATGGATTTATAATGGTGAAAAGCAAGATATGATTTGGGCGTGTACTCTCTGGGCGCTTTCTACGCAAATCATCATTAGTCTTAACCAACAGAGCCTGCTGTTGACTTTGTTGCTGAACCACCTATAAGAAGTGAAATTTTATATTTAATATTCAATTCAATCTTAAAATTTAAAACTATTCTATATAATATAACATATTTAATAAAATATTTTAATCATATAAAAATAGATTTATTTTCCTATATGTTGCTAAGTGTACGAGTAAATAAAAAAGTATTTAGTTGTACGTTTTATGTGTTATTCATTTGTCAATCAAAATATTATTTGACAAAAATAATATAGAATTGAAAACAATGCGTAGGCAAATATTTATGAAAAACTTTACTTATTTTTCACCTGACTTTTTTAATTTAATATTACCAAGTATATCCACTTTTAAAAATTTTGTGAATTTAAAAAAATTTATACCATTACTCAAATAGTTGAAATTTTTGTGTGTAGCTTATCAAGTAAGAAAAACATTTGGATAACAATACTTTAAACTATGTAGGAAGTCGAGCGTACTTTTTGACATTGACATAAAAGCAAGTGGAAAGTATTAATTAACAGAAAAAGAAACAATAGTTTCCCTTGAAGATTGTTCTTTACAAAATAAAGAAAAATTTAATAACAAAACATTATGAGATTCTTAGTTCTATGATGTGCTCTTTCACTAAAATTTTATAAAAAATCCACTGTTTTTAGATACTTTGATTAATGTTATTAAAGTTAATTTAGAAGGATAAAATAGAATAATCTGTATATAAAAAAACTGTTTAGATTCAATATTAATTACATATTTTTGAATAACAATGGTATATAATAATGCCAAGTAACATTTAAAAAATTCAAAATTGGTAATATTTTCTATAATATAATACACCCAAAAATCAAGAAAAATAAATTTGAAATTGTTAAAAACTTACAACAATGTTATTAACAGTAGTAGAATTCAATAACACAAATTGTATCAGTACAATATAATTAAATATATAGACATTTCTATGTTTTTGGTATAATAATTGGTAAATGAACTAAATTATTTAAAAAATTTATCATACATAAATAAATAAAATTAAAGTTAATAAAGCATATAGCGCAATTGAGATCAGTACTTTAATGTTAGTAACAGGAGTACACTTCGCTATTATTAAGAGCAATACAATTTAATTGTTTATATGTAATCAATGGACTAATACAACTACGTTCAATAAATTTAATTTAAAACGCGATCTACATTTTAGTATTTCTGTTTGGTTTTTTTAACCTTTCTAGCAAATTTTCCAATTTTGAATCCAATGTAATTTTTTTGAACGTTATTTACCAATAAAATGAGAAAAAGTGAATAAAAGTTAAATGATATTAAAGCAACTTTTTTGAAAGTCTTTTAGTTTTTTAACCATTTTTATAAATAAACTTTCTCCTTGCTATTATTTAGTTTTGTTTACTCATATACTTTTACTCTGGTGGAACAAAGGTGAGACAGTCTGCATCGTTTTTGCAAAAAGGACTTTTTTACGTATTTTAGGACTTTTTACGTTTAACGCAAAGTATCAACTATATCTTGTCTGTTAACTGATATTTGATTAAATAATTAATAAAATTAAATTTAACAATAAATTGATTAAGCAAATACCGTTTTTGATAGTGCTGACATTTAACAATTATCAACTCGCGAAGGAAATGTTTACAGTTGGAATACTAGAACCAAAAACATAGAAATATTTCTACGTTTTTGTTAGACATTTTATTTTTTTTTATTTAACATTTTATTTTTATAAAACAAATAAAAAATAATTTTATTCTTAGTCTATGTTGTTTTATAATAGAAAGGATACTTCATTTAATATATTGTAGACTTACGAGGTGATCAAAAATTAAATAGAACATGTAAAATACACCCTCTACATCGTGTTTGTGGTGTCAAATTTTTTTGTGTATTGGTTGTGCAACGTGATGCGATGTTTAGTTTGTGCTTACTTAGCAAATGAAGAACAAGCATATAAGTGTTTGAAAATATTTTAACATTACTGTATTTAGCGATTTTTTGTAAAATGAAATATCGAAATATCGAATCAGAAAGTTCGTCTGAAATTTTATGCTAAAACCGAAAGAAATGAAATGAAATATATAATATATTAAAAAAGACTGTCACAACCACGAGTTTATGTCAAAAATACATTTAATGTGTCGCCAGATCAGGGTGTTTTAACATTTCCATCCTTGCAGATTGCTTTAGTTTTTATACTAGTTTTGGTGATCTAGCGTATAAGCTATGTTTTTAGCCATGCTATTCCAATGATTCATTTTTTGAGGCTTGGAGTACAAGCTCTGCAACCAACCAACATCTTCATCAATAATGAAAATGTGAAATTTTATGAAGCACCATTAGAGAAGTTGCTTTAGAAATAGAAAAATTATAATCTGAACATAAAAAGAAAGAAAGCAAAAATTGTCAATTATCCATTAATTAATGGTGAAACATAACATCATTGTAATGCAGCAACCACTTTATTCTTCTGACATCTATAAAAAATTTTTCTCCTTCTAAAATTTAGTAGACACTAAAAGCACAACAGTTTTTCACGATAAAGAAAGGAAATAGGCTCATCGCTATCCGTACCTAAAAAACTTTTACTCCTTCATACAAGAAATTATGGTGGCAAACTTATAATCTTCAAAATAAGAATATTTTTATATTAGTGAAAATGAAATCATTACTTTTCGAAAACGATCTTGACCACACCTTGTTTATGTAATATTTTAAAAGCCTCATAATTAGAATAAAAATAGATCGATTTTCGTTTTCATGAAATATATACCGATCGTGGTGATAAATTTTCTGAATATCATATATGTATATCATTAAATTTAACGTACTAAAAAAATTTGATTATTTTAAATTGGAAAAAATTGGCATAAAACTCCAGAACGCTATCCGCTGTCAGAAGCGTCCAACGCCATTCAACGCAATTTAATGCCTTGTAGCAAACATCAAACTTAACATAAACGACGAAATTACAAGTCAACAACAGAAATACTATTACTAGGCAATCTATGAGATGATTCTGTCTGCAATTCTCTGGTAGATTGAAATGAGCAGAAATGGCAGACGCGAATTCACGCCTACCACCACCCACCTGAAATCAGTAAAATATTAAGCAAGAAAATACTTCATTTGGTATTCATATTTAATTCAATATAAAACTATTTAAGATTTATTTTCTAAATGATAGATTCTCATTTGCACTTAACCCAAAAAACTATGCTAACACCATGCACCAAATGTTTCCGGGAACTGTTTGACTAGAAAATTATACCGAAAAGTAGAATAAATTTATCATTTGTCTAACTGTCTATTTGGCCATTTGTGTTTCTGTCTGGTGTTTTGTTTTTATTTATTTAACATAAAAAGATTAAAACTGATTTAAAATTCAAACGCATTTTAACATTTCAGCATTCTGCGCAATTTTAAGGACTTCGTACATTTCGCGTTTCTAAAAGAAATTAGTTTTCTGTTTGTATGCCTTTGTTGATCCAAATTGTAGATGTTTTATCTGTTTAAAGTAAATGCACCAATATACATTTAATTTTAATGCATTGCAAATTCATATAGTATCTGGCAAATCGAGTAAGGCACGCAATTCATAGTGACTTGCGAAGGCATTATACCTAGTACGACTGTCCATGTGTCGGTATTCGCTTGGTTTTTCCTCATTTTTATCGCTGATTTGATGTTTTGCTGCCACTTGGCTTGATTTCTTGATGTTTTTCTTCATAATTTATTTGAAAATCTTTTTGATAATATTTTAAGAATTTGGCCGTTTGTCTATTCTTAATAAAATTATAATGAACTCTTGTAAGTTATTTTATTGTCAGTGTACACAAGAACTAATTCAAAATTCACATTTAAAATTTTAATAAATATGCATTCAGCATCATGTTTGTTTTTAATAAAACAAACAAATTAGTATATGAAAGTGAAAATTTGTTAATTTCTTTTCAAAATGTAAAGCACTTATTGTTTTAATAATAATCAATATGCAGTTTTCCTAATGAAATTAAAATATATGTTCAAATAATATTTAAAAGTTTAACAGCAAATAATAATTTTAGTATTATTATCAAAATTATAATATGTAATATATTAACAGAGGTATAGCATTATTAATGTGTCTACTCACAAATATATAAAGAAGAGCTTATTATCGATTTTGAGATATACCTACATTAAAAAAACTAAAAGGTCTTGTGCTTGTACGGAATTTAAACTGATGTGTAACCTCTAAGAAATTTAGGTTAGTAAATCTAAACTCTATACATTTAAACATATATACATATAAAGCGAAATTTTCTCTTGAAAATACATAGTGAAATCTATAGAGCTGGTAAAAAATTTATGTTATTCAAATCATATATTTTTCAAAACCAAAATAAAATCTCTGGAACTTTAACTTTATTTAACCTAAAAACAATGTCCTATATTTCCTCCTTCACACATAGTGGTTCCTATCCAACTACAGAAACCATAAATGGAATGCGATTAATATAAAGCACATATATTAATTTTGACGGCTATTTATTGATGTACAATTATGTAAATAAAATAATTGGCTCTTAATATAAAATATCTTTGTTGAACTTAAAAATATTTTATCTGTTATAGATGATGACCAGGTTGAGCATTGAGATCAGGTGGAGAGCATGTAAATAGTGTCCAATGTAAAATATTTACTATGAATATGAAAGTGAATAGATTAATCATATAAATGAATAAATGAGTATCCAAGATCACCACAAATATAATATACTGTTCACGAAGCACGAACTTGTTGAACACTACATCAGATTATAGATTTTAGATTCTAGGAATTCTTCTGATGAAGTCAAAAGCGAAATTGCCGAAATACGTATAGGTATATCCAAAAAAATACGACCGAAATAAAATTTAACAACTAACATTGTTAGAAACTACAACCCAAATTTATTCAGAAAATGAGCTCATTTGTATTATTTTAGCGATCTATAAATTCAGTCACAAATATGTTAGTAAAGGCTCTAGCCAAAGTTAACAAAGGTTTT